GGTGCCATGTCGCGATTTTTCTTGTAATTATACAGGGCAGACCGGGCGACGACTTAGCTCACGAATTGTGGAGCACAAAAGGGCAGTGCGGACTGTCCCAGATCGCTACCCACACCCTGGAAGAAGGCCACCAATTCGACCTCTCGGGCACACGGATAATGGCACGAGCCAGTAATAAGACTGGTCGAGAACTGCTGGAAGCCTGGGTGTCAGATTCTAACTTCATCAACAGGCATGTGGATATACCTCCCTGTAACTTTGCCATCCGTACTCGCGACCAGAAACCGCGGCCCGGTTCCCGTACAAACATGCAGGCTGTCACTTTAAGGCCACAAGCCACAACTACAGGGACGCGCGTAGACGACACACGAAAAGACGGCGTGAGCATGGACGTGGCATGGGCATTGACCAATCACAAGTGCGAACCCCACCTCCATTTACGCGTAGCTAACTCTTGCTGTTTCTCACTTTCTCTGACGATGGCTTCTCGTATGGAGTCGAAAGCTAAGACGAATAAAATTACCGTTCCAGAGATCGCGTCTTCTGCTTCTTTACAACAGGAATTTTCGTTGCTGGGATGGTTTGTGAATAGGTTTGGTCAAGGCGTCTTCTTGGGTGTTCACTGGCGCATGGCCTTGAAAGAGAACTTTGCAGAACAAGGTTTTCTTTCCCACAGTACGTGTAGTGGGTCTGAAATGTCGGGCAACCGTTCTCGCGAAACAGGTCCTCGATTTTCCTTAAATCATCGTAACTACTGTCTGCCGGGCAAATGCATGTTAACCTTTGCGCCAATCACCGGACCAGATTTTTTTCCACTGAATGAGTAAAAGGCCGCTAAAGTTCGTGCATTGTCCAGCCCAGGTTTTTTTGAGAAATGCGTCTTCGGACGCTACTTTCCGGTGTTCGACTTAGGCGGACGTCCAGAAAATAAAGTGGACCTGCTGTTTCCACCTTCAGCGTAAACTTCATGGACGAATGTGCTTGTTTGGCGGCATTTATGAGTTCATCTAAATCAATTTTGGCTTCAGCAATGGCAAGCTATTAACAGCGTAGTGATAATTGTATTTAAGCTTATTGATCTCTTCGCCAAGTCGAAATTTCTCCATCCCATGAAAAAGTCGTCTAAGGGAGGTTTAAGATGCGAGCCCATAGCATCGCCATATATTTGTTTGTTATGTTCGTTTTCAAAGAGCAACAGCGCATTTAAAGAACGTCTTAGCAATGGTTCATTTAGCACATTCATCAGTATTCCTATTTCCAGGCTATTTGCTAGTTGGAATTAGCAAATACGATAGACTGTAATATCATCACCTATGATTAAGGATTCCCGAGGGAATCCGAAACGTCAGGAAAA